TCCGATCTATGTTGTGGATGGTGAGGGAGAGGGTTTGGGTGGCGCCGCAGATGTCGCAGGTCGACGGCGAGTTCATCGCGGAGGAGGGAGCCTCCGTGCGAACGCAGCGAGTCCCAACGGTAACCCTAGAAATTCAAGAGTGTGTGAGTGCGTCAAGTGACTGAGATTAGGAAAATGGTGGGAAGGGCTAAGTGCTGCTTTTACAAACGCTTTTCTTTTAATCACTTCTTATTAAATGTAAATTGCATTTTCTTAGGGTCTAAATTGTCAAATATTTAGACAATTAAGATAATGCTCGTCTATAAAAAAAAAAGTTAACATTTAATGTTCTTATTGTCTAAATTATGATATTCTCACATGTGAATTCGACTGCATTTAATCTTATCATTATTATTTAATTATATTATTATTTATGCCATTAAAGATGATATCTAATGTATTTATTATTCTTTTTTGTTTTTAATATTTCTTAAAGTTTTTTTTTTCTTCTTTTAACATGATGTTATTAATTAATTATATCTATACCTATAACTTTTTCTATTTTTTTCTTTCTCAAAATATATACATTTCAAAAATTATGAACAAAATAAAAAAATAAATTTAAACTTAAATATATTTTTAATTGATATAAAATGAACGATTTTTTATTTTGATTCTTGTGATTTTTTTATATTTAAAATTTTAAAATTACTGTTTTTAATCTTAAAAAATAAATTTAATTTTGATGATCGTAAAATATTTTTCTTTATGTTTAATCCTTCTAGAATTTAAAATTGTTTTTTTTCCCTTCAACTATTTTAAGATAGATTTGTTTTAATGATTTATAAAAAAATTTAGACCACTTCTAAAATAAATCACAAACAATTGTAAGTGTTGCACACAAAAATAGTTAATAAATATCATATAATCACATAGATCAAAAAGAGTAATTCCAAATTTTAGATGAATGAAAGACGAATAATTTTTTTTACAAGAACCAAAATAAAAAATTGTTCATATTTTACAAGTAAAAATATATATTTAAGTCTAGTTAAAAATATATTTAATAAATACTTATTTAATTTTATATTTTTTTTCGACTTTACCTTTCACTTTCTACACTTAAAAATCATTTGTCATACAAACACTCTTAATTTTTCTGGTCATTAAAAAAAATGTTAACCGTATATGACACTACTAATATGCATTGCACTTTACATTTTTACTAGTTTTATATTTTGGTTTCTCTAAACTAGTTTTATATTTTGGTTTCTATATTTATAAAATCTTTACATTTTAGTTTTTATATTTGAAAATTAATCATTTAGTTCTTATTAAAATAACTTTTTATTTATATAAATTTGTTTCATTCAAAACTTTCTCCCTTTTATTTTTGTCTTGTTTTATTTTGCAAATTTACATTACAAATTTTTTCTTTGATTTTATATTAGAAAGTTTTGATGTTGTATAGTTGAAACACGATTATAAGAAAAAAGGCAATATATCTTAAAATTAGTCATTTGTGTTGAAATTACTCATAATAGTACAAATATTTGAATTGTTTGAATCTTACAAAACGGTAATGATCGTGATAGAAACTTTTGTGTTGTTTTAATTTTGCAAAAGCAATATACACATATATAATAACGATGGTGATTACAATGTCAATGATGACGACAATGTCATCATCATTGTCATAATCATTATGGGGATGGTGGCAAAGACAATAATTGTCATAAATACAGTAATAATAATGATCATATCGTCTCTATTATCATTGTCACAACCATTATTGTTATTGTTATTGTCACTAGTAAAGAAATCATGAAATGATGATATTAAAAAATAAAGAAATTGATTTATAATTACGTTTTGTGCCACCACATTTTATTTTGTTTAAAAAGTAGTTTTTTTTTTTTTTTCAATTTTGGCCTTCATGTTGAGAATATTGTCCATAACTTTTTTTATGAAAACGTGGGAGAAACCCCAAACACATTAAAAGTCTCATGAGAATGCAATAAAGGTAACAATAGTCATTATGAAAGGAATTATAAAGACTATAATAACAGAATAAAAAAAAATTATCCACAATAGATTGGCCATAGGAATCTAAAGCATCAGTTACTTGATTTGCTTTCTTGTAAATATGAGACTTCCTTATAGACGTGGGACCATGTAAAGCAGCCAACAAAGGATAATCACTGTATATTTCAACACAATCTAAAATGAGAATGGGTTATCGAGCAACTAATTTGCAATAAAGTGTTTGTCACCTGAGAGTTAGACTCCACAACAAATTCATAGGCTAATTTATTTATTTGAAGAATTTTAAATTCTTTGAGGTGAAATATTTTGTTTGGATGAGGAATTTATAAAGAATTTGAAATCAAAGCATTTGTAAATTTCTTTAAAATAGTAGAATTTTAAATTCTCTCAAAAATGGGAGAATTTGAAATTTCTCATATTTATTTTTCTTATTTCACCTATATATTTTATCTTATCTCTTCATTCTTTTAATTATTGGATATTCAAAAATATTTTTAAAATTATTAAATATTATCTTATATTAAATTTTAAAATTATTAAATATTATCTAATATTAATTTTTAAAATTATTAAATATTTAAAAATGGATTAATATTTATTTTTATAAGATTTAATTTAAAAATCTCAACATATAAATATATTTTTAAAATCAATTTTACTATGATGGAATCAAATTATCATATTCAACCTAACAATTTAAAATTTAAGAAATTTGAATTGACTCATCCAAACAAAATATTTTAAGAATGATAGAAATTGAAATCAAAGTAATTCAAATACCAAGAATTTAAAATTCATTGAATTTGTAAAATTCTTCATCCAAACATACTATAAACTTCTTACTCCATGCAATTATAATCCCAAGCAAGATAGTCTATGATTTTGCTTGGGCTAGGGATGACAAAAAATATTCGTACATATGGGTATTTTTGAATAAAATTTACTATAAATAATAAATAGGTAGTCTAAATGGATACTCGCTAGTAACGAGTACGAGTGTTTTTTTACCTGTTTATAAATGGGGCGGGAGCGAATATGATAGTATCCATACTCGCGATACTCGTTTAATAAAATTTATTAAATTATGAGATTGATATATTTTAAGTTATTAATTATTTTTTTTATTATTATTTTTAATATCAACACAATTAATGTTAAATAAAAGTTTAAAAGTTAACATTAATTTTTTATTTTTAACATTTCAATGACATCAAATACAAACTTAAAATTATTTGTAATATAATTTTTTTTTTAAAAAAAATCATAATTATTCATGAGTACCCGTAAATATTTAAAAAAATGTATAAATATTTGCTTAATAGGTACCCACATAAATATGAGGCGGATTTTTATCTTATGAGGCAGAGATGGGTATATTACTACCCGCTTCCGCTTCTACAGGTCTCATTACCATCCCTAGCTTCGAGCACATAGTAGGAACCAATATTAACAACAAAGAAGAACAAAACCTTTCCTATGTAGTCTCTGTAACTCCTTCCCCATACTACAATATTTTTGATAATGATTTTGAACTATTCCACCACAATTCGATTTAAAATATTGAGGAGGTGGTTGAGCCCACGAAATCACAACTAGAGCTTGGTTTAAATCAATTGGAACCTCCATATTATCCCCACACCTAAGACTAATCTAGATAACATCAATTTATTTATTTTTAACACATGTATATTATATTTATTATTATAGCACAAATAGTTGGTTTGATTATTTTTTTCCCCATAAAAGATACATACACACCATACCACTATTTAAAACTAAAAAATTGTGTTAAAAAAAAACAAAAAAGTTAATTAATAATAATTATTATTTTTTAAAACGGGCATTAGATGGATTTGAAAACTGGTGGAGAAAAGTTTTGACGTTTGGAAAGAGAAAAGGGAAGAAAACACAGAGCGGCTTTTAAATTTTGATTTTTGTGTGTGTGAGAGAGAGAGGAAACATCCACGCCCATGGAAGTGGAGGACTGGGATTTGAGCGCAGAGGACCTCGATTCTCTCGAAAGAGACGCTTTCCAGAAAATTGCTCAGCTGCGCAACCCTTCTGCAACCCCCAAACCCCTTCACCAAACTGTTAAGTTATAATCTTTTCTCATTCCTCCTTCTTTCCCATTACTTAACCCTCTTCGCTATATAGCCTTCAATTCCTCCTTTTCATGTTAAGTTTCGTGCCTCTGTCCCATTTAAACTCAAACACCTTAGGAATTGAAGCACAAGCTGCTTATTCCGCTATGTTATGAATTATGAAGTTTCAGCATTTTAGGGTAGGAGCATTGCTTAATGTCATTGTTTTTTTTTTATTATTTCAATTCAGGTTGCTACTTCATCCCAAGGAGCAAGTACGTCATTGAAACCAGGGACAAGCAACGGTGTGGTTATCTTCTCCACCATTTACCCACTCACCCCTTTCTCTTTCTATCAACATATACTCTCTCTCTCTCTCTCTTTTAAATTTGTTTATTCACCATCGCTTATGTGGTTTTTATTTGCTTTCTGTAATTTGTTTTGGTTTTAAGGCGTCAAATGGTGATTTGTTGCTGTTTATGTTGTTTTCCTAGCTCCATCTGTTGCAGACAAAAACTCAAAAGAGCTGCCGAAGTTTTCGGTAAAATTTTTTCTTCATTCCAGTGGAAATGTTGCTGCGAAGTTTCAGTATGACCAGGTTTTGTTGGCTAACCTACTTGCGGAGTATTGAATTTTATTCAGTTTTGAATTTCGAATCTTTCACAAACAAGGTTTTGTCTTCGACCGTGTGCAAGGGTCAGCTTAGAGTTTCCTGGTTTATGCTATGGACTTTGTTTTGAAACAGGTAGTAGTTGCTGCTTTTCGTAGAATCCCCAAGTCTTCTTGGAATGCAAAAGAACGGTATGTTTCCCGCCCATCCTCCAATTTGTGTGTGTGCATGTTTTAGCCTTATGAAAATGTTGAGCCAGCAGGTTATGGATGTTCCCACTATCTTCCTTGTCCGAAGCAGAAAAGGTACTTGGAGAAATATCTGGTTATAATGTTCAGGTAACAGCTTCTTCCTACTTTCATTTTCTTTATAGTTAGGACATTGATGATCGTATGCTACTATTTTCCATTATAAGACTAAAACCTGGACATACACAAATTTCCTTTTCTTAGTAATTTTGTCACCACATAATAATTATATGTGGTTGTTCTGCATTATTTGGTTGGAGAGAAACTAGTGCTCATGACTCATGAGTTTCAAATCTTTACTATGGAGATAAAAGGAAATCCACAATGTATATGATTACTCTGAATTCTACTATAATTTTGGTTTGCCTCATTTTTTAGTTTTAATTTCATACTTGTTTTAAATATATATGTTTTTTTCCTTGGCTCTTTCCAATATCAATTTTCTTTTTCTAATGCAACCCGGTTTACACCCGTTATGCACCCTTGGATTTTCTGAACTTCTAATGGAAAGATATATTGTCTAAAGAAACAAAGCATCTTGTGTGGATAATAGGGTTAGTGGCATGTTTGAATCACTGTGCAATTCTGTTGAACGTAAAAGCTTTTGTGAGATATACGTTCAATGGAACATTGGAATTTGAGATTCAACTAAAACAAACACATACTAGGAGCTGCAAAGGTGGGATTTGGGGTCCCTAATTCAGTAAATGTTTTATTCATTTGAGTAATAAAAATGTCTTATCCTAGAGTAAGCATGTATGCCAGATTTTTATGTTTAAGTCTGTGTTTTATTTTTTCTTGATTACTTTGTTTCTTAATTTCTATTTCTATACGTTTTAGCTTCTTCCTTCAATTATTTAAATAACTTTGCAGGTGGAAAACTTAGATTCGTTAGTGCAACGTGCCATTGCAGCAGCATCTGCAGTTCCAGATCTCCAAGGTATATGCTGAATACTTTTATTTTCAAGCCTTTTGTGCTCTCCTTTATAGGTTTGCAAAGACTATAGTTATATATCTGTGTTTTCTTTTTCTGAAAAGTTCTGAAGTTGTTATTTTTGGTTGCTTTACTAAAAGATCGGTACCACAAGATCCCTAGTTATATTGAAACAAAGCTATTACCATTTCAGCGAGAAGGTGTTAGGTATGAAGTGACCTGCTCACTTTTCTATATCATTATTATCATAATTATGGATTAGTTATTGTCTTTATCTTTCCATGTCATTTTTTTTCTTCTCTTTTTTATTATTCTACCATGCATTGATTTTCGTTATTATTTATTTGATTTCAGGTTTATATTGCAGCATGGAGGACGTGTTCTCTTAGCAGATGAAATGGGGCTTGGGAAAACTTTGCAGGCAATTCACTGTCTAAAATTAAATCATTTCCTTACGTTCAATGTGCAACATGATGCATAGCAGTGTTTTACACCTTTACAAACAAACATACAATCGTTTGTGGTAGAAGTAAAGTTTTATCAGAATTTCTGCTTTTCTTTCTAACATCTATTGTTATGTTGCAAATTCTTTTTCTTCTGCAATCTGCAAATAAAAAAGAGCATCTTAGTATCCTAGATCTTAAGTGATTCCTGGTAGAAATCATCCTTAATGCTACTGTAGTATGTATAACTTAATTAACAATAGTACACATAAATAACATCAGTCACAGTAGTATTGATGTAGTGGGTAGAAATCATTTATCGTAACTTGGGTTTTTGTAATATCTAATATGTCCGAGTTATGATCTTCTTCTCTTTGGCTGTTAACATTTTATGGCTGCAACTACCTTTTAGCTAGGATGAATGTAAATTTTTATCAGTATAAAAAAGTTTTTATACAATTTTTTTTCCACTCTCTTCTCCAGTTATCCAAGAAATTTCTCCACTTCTTTTCTTCTTATTTCTATCCATCCAAACAACACATCTTTCTTGCTCCATTTCTTTCTTATTTCTATTTTTTTTTTTTTTGTCTTACCTCCTTATTTCACTTCTCATATAGGTAAAGTGTTACGGATGAAAAATGAGAAATATTTATTTAATTGGAGTATCATATTGCATAAGTGTTCACCAGACAGGGGATGCCTGTCAAAAGAAGTAACATTACTAGAATGATTTCAAGCTTTTAGCAGCTTACTACTGAGTTGCATGGAAATCTGAATGGAAAAATAATAATAGAGGGGGCAGATTCAGTGAGGGCATAACAATCACCATGAACTTGATAGAAAAATACAGCAATGCCACTGTTTTTTTTTTTTTTCACAGTTAATGCCAAACAAACTAGATGACTAAATACAAATTATTCAAATTGTCTCAGTAAAATATGTGCATAGAAAGCAATAAATTTTCAAATTACCATATTGAAAGAAGTAACATTCACTTTACAATTTAAAAAGTAAATGTAGGAATAAAATATGTTAAATGGCAGATTCACAAATCTCCAATCTACAAATTAAATACAATAAGGATTGTTGATATCTCACATTGACTATAGATATGGATAAATTAGAGCTTATAAAGGCTCGAGCAATCCTCAACTCATGAGATGATTGTTAGGCCAAACCCAAATTGACTATGGAGTGGGTAGCAGTTAGCACTCCTTTCTTCTTAGAGTACCATCCCTATCTTCAGAAAATTGACCAAGAGCTGCTTAGGTTTGTGGGAGAAAATAAATGGGACTTGAAAGTTTCTTTGGAATTTCTAAAGGACGACTTGAAATAGGGAAAATGGAGCACAAACGAAAAAAGAAAGATGCAAAACAGCACGTATGAAAGGGGGAAGGGAGCAGGCAGAGGAGATGTAGGTGGAAGTGAGGGTCTTAGATTTTATTAGGTTTCATCTTGTAAAATTACTAAAATGACTTTCCTTTTTTTCTTTTTAATAAAGTTGAGCAGTGCGTTTCATTTTGCAGGCCATTGCTGTAGCTTCATGTGTTCAGGACTCATGGCCTGTTCTCATACTTGCACCGTCTTCGTTACGCTTGCAATGGGCTACTGTAAGGGCTGCATTTCTACATTTTTTGTCATTTGATAGAAGTATAGAACACATTTGGTTAGTTAATGTGTGCTCCTTGTTTTGCTTTAATTCAGATGATTCAACAATGGCTGAATATTCCTTCATCAGATATTGTTGTATGTTATTCAGGATCCCTTTATCAAATTTTCTGTATTGTTTGTTATTTTCTGGTTTGTAAAGAAAACACTACAAGATCGTTTTTTTTTTGTTACTTGAGGTTTCTCTTCTGCTAAAGTAAAATTTATTTTTCATTGTGAATTCTATTCGGATAAAGTAGATTGTCTTACCTCAAACTGGTGGATCAAATAGAGGAGGTTTCAATGTAGTATCTTCAAGTGCCAAAAGCAGCATTCGTCTGGATGGACTATTCAACATTATTTCATATGATTTGGTGCCAAAGCTACAGAATATGCTTATAACATGTGACTTTAAGGTTAGCACTATACTGTTATCTAATTTTTCTGACTTTCATTGTGGTTCCTAAGTCCTCATCTTAATCACATGTCTATTTTCTGTTAATCATTTCTTGAAGGCAGAGTGAGTACAATGAATGGTGGTGGAACTCATCTATATATCATGTTGTGATCAAAGGTTGAAAATATGAAATACATTAAATTTGATTAAGTACTTCACGTTTGCAAATTGAGGCACATTATGATCAACTTGAATTATGCTTGGCTGTTAAACAGTGTTTATTTGAAAATGGATTGTAAAATGCTATATAGTTTGGTGAAAGCTATGGAGGAGATACTATATGTTATTATTTCCCCGTTGTTTGGGTCTTTTGGCTGTGAGTTCCATTAGTCATTGATTATTAAATGAAAATGACTTATATTATCCACTCAAACCAAAATTATCTGATAATAATTTCATTTTTTTTGTTTTAGATAACGTCATTAGTTTGAGGTTGCATGTGAATTTCAGAGTATCTAGCAGCTATTATGATCTAAAAATAACCAAGATACAAATTAATTTTTTCTTTTGTTTCAATTATGGTCTTTTGCCCTTTTAGTATACTTTTTAAAAAATTAAAATAATTTGAGCAAGTCAAGTAGTATTTATTTTTGGCATTTCAGCTATTTTTTATTTATTACTGTGTTTGTACAATCAAAGCTTTTCCTGTATGCATGGTAAAAGTTCCAATGTTGATGATAAATAACACACTTAGCTGTGAACTGTTTTTATTCAGGTTGTGATTGCTGATGAATCACATTATCTGAAAAATGCTCAGGCAAAGAGGACAACTGCTTCTCTACCCGTCATAAAGGTATTCACTCTTGAAAGCCATAATCACATGTATACCTATTTCTAGAATTCATGTTTAACAGACAGAAAGCATATAAGGAATTGGAAACGATAAAAGATGAAGGGGGAGAACTGAAAAGATAATTAACCAAAAGAGAAGAGGGTTAAGACTCCAGTATGTACAGAAGCATTTGTGAAGGGTCTAGTATTCTAAACCTTTCTTCCCCTCCTCCCTAAAATGAAGTTGGATTTCATAACTGAAACATTTAAGTAAATTCCGAATTAGCTTCAATATTAATTTAGTTGCAGTATAGACTGCCTGTGGCAGAGTATTGTGTGTCAATTTCTCTCATGCTTTCTTTGACAAGCTAAAAATGCATACATTGTCAGAAAGCTCAATATGCATTATTGCTTAGTGGAACACCTGCTTTATCCCGACCAATTGAACTATTCAAACAGGTAAATTTTAATGATTTTTTAAAGTTTTTTTTATATACATTATTTATTTATTTATTATTATTATTATTATTATTATTTTTTTTTTTAATGTTTAATACCTTATTAATGTTGGGCATTATTGGAACATACATTTTAATAATCTGTTTGAAATTGTGTTATAGCTGGAAGCTTTGTATCCTGATGTATATAGGAACGTTCATGAATATGGTAACCGGTACTGCAAGGGTGTAAGTCATCTCTTCATTATTGATAAGATTCTTTTGATTAGCCAGTTTTTCTTTTGCTGTTAATGGATGAGTATTCCAGCTTGACATTGTCACATGAATCTTCCAGGGATTTTTTGGAGTTTATCAAGGTGCAAGTAACCATGAAGAGCTGCACAACTTAATGAAGGGAACAGTGATGATTCGCAGGCTTAAAAAGGATGTTCTTTCTCAACTTCCCGTAAAACGCAGGCAACAGGTGTGTATATTTATCACCATTTGTTCTCTACAACATTTTATGTTATGCACACTTTTGAGTCTTGACAGTGTTTATTTCAATCTTTGTACATAGATTGTTAATGGAACTTTAGAACTGATTGTTGTATTTGTTTGGTAATTGATTCTCAGGTCTTCCTAGACTTGGCTGACAAGGACATGAAGCAAATTAATTCTTTATTTCGAGAGGTAATTCAACATATCTGCCGTACATCTTGAGACAAATATAGCATCATTCAGTTTTGTTAGTTATTGCTCCAGCTAGTTAATAGTTATGGGATGCAATTGCTACATATTTTGGCAATATGCTTTTAGTTTATTTTATGGAATATAGCATTATTTTGAGTAAATTATATAAAATTGTTGAATTTGAATTCAAACAAGTAATTTGACTTCCTTTGGCTCACTGTTTGTTGGTTGCTCAATGCTCATATTATTTTATTTTATGAATTTGCTTCTGCTAATAAATGATTTGTAGTCTGGGGTTCAAGGAAGACAGAGAAAACTGATTTCATTTTTTATATATAACTTGGTTAGAAATTTGCTCTTAAAATACGTTACTTTACTTTAAAATGGAAATATTTTTGTCTTGCATACATTGTTGGAGGTGGTAAAAGGTGTCCGATATTGATTTTTCTTCTGCAGTTGGAGATGGTAAAAGCCAAAATTAAGGCATCCAAATCACAAGACGAGGCTGAAACACTCAAGTTTACTCAAAAAAATCTTATTAACAAGGTATCGATGGGAGGAGCACTCTACAGAATTTTGGGTTGCACTATTTGTTTGAAATTGTTGCTATTTCCTAGAACTAGAAAAGTTATATTTACATACTTCAATTCAACCCATGCTCACACTCCCTCTGTTTATGGGCAATTTAAATTACTTTGACTATTTGATTCATTCAATTCCAGATATATACTGATTCTGCAGAAGCCAAGATTCCATCTGTTCTTGATTATCTTGGAACAGTCATTGAGGTACTCCTCTCAACCTCTTTGCAGCAATTGAGGATTAATACTTTCAACTGCTGCAGGTGTATTCACTAGGATCCCGAAGATCTGTTCTCTGCTTTCTCTGTTGTCTCTTTCTTGTGGGTGTGCTTATGTGCTTGCATGTTTATGTCAATGCCATTTATTATAATACTATTCAATATGTTTTATGTTGGTTAAATATGCCTGTTGTATTGCTTTTGTTGTAATGATGCTCTTTATGCTTTGATGCCAACTGTAAGATGATTAGTTGAATGACTTCAGTGAATATTGTAGTAATTTTTTTAAAAGTAATAATGAAGTTATATTATAATGCTTTTTTTGTAAGATGATTATTACTGTTGCTTCCATATCCTTTCAGCTCGTAGTTATATTTTAATTGCCTTGTTTCTCCTTAATATTGATACTTTCAAGCTCCAAAATGAAGCATGTGTTCAATGTTAGAAATTTTGTGGTGATAAAGCTTCTGAGATTAAAATAGAGAACTTTTATGCTGGTTAATTAAAGTCCAGACAGTACTTAAGATTTCTTCCCTGTAAGTTATATTTTCGCACCATTGATTTTGGGTCTCAAGAATGCTGTGGAAAATGGCAATTCATGACACCTACTTGTGCCTGCCACTAAGCTATTGGTGTCACAGTTAACTGTGTACCAGATTAAATGTGAACAGATGGTCGTTGAGTTGATTGGTTTATCTCATGCTTCACACTGAATCCAATGTGTATAGTAAATCATTTCGTTTTATTAATTAAAATAGATGACATCTTCATTTTTTTGCCATCTTCATCTTTCTTGTGATATAATTTGGGCTGTTGACCATCATTGGATGTGGTAATGCTATGCGTCATAATTGTTGCAGGCAGGTTGCAAGTTTCTTATATTTGCACACCATCAGCCAATGATCGATTCAATACACGAATTTCTTCTTGTAAGGCCACTTAAATTTTATGATTGTTATCATGAAATGATAAACTCTTATGAAAACTGTTCAAAATTTCCAGAAGAAAAAAGTGGGTTGCATCCGAATTGATGGACGTACGCCTGCTGCATCCAGGCAACAATTGGTTACCGAGTTTCAGGAAAAAGATGCTATCAAGGCAGCAGTGGTACGGTAGTTTCATTCACATATATCCTTGTAACTATTTTTGTTATCCTTGTAACTATTTTTGTTTTTTCTATTGAGCCCTTTGCTAGGTTGAACTATAATTCCGCTGTAAAATATGGTTCAATTGAGTTAATGATTTTCTGTTCACATCATGTCCTGCAGCTATCTATTAAAGCTGGAGGTGTTGGGTTAACTTTAACTGCCGCCAGCACAGTAATCTTTGCAGAATTGTCTTGGACTCCTGGTGACATAATTCAGGCCGAAGACCGTGCTCATAGAATTGGCCAGGTATTCTCAAAATCTTGGTGTTGTTAAGTAGTAACTAGAAAGATAAAAGAAATCTTAAATCCCCTTGTAGTTCAGACAACAGTACAAGAGTACCAGCATGGCGACAAACATTAACAAATCATTGCAGTCTCCGGAAAAGAATTGATAGATTATCCCGAAGAAAAGATCTTCCATTATTTTGATTTTCTATGCTCTAATGATTCTGACTTGCTACTTCTTGTTTTTAGGTGTCTTCTGTAAATATATACTACTTGCTAGCAAATGACACAGTTGATGACATCATATGGTACGTTATGTGCTTTTCTGCAGTTATCTTAGGCTTGGTAGTTGGTATTGGCTTGATTTCTTAGAAGTTTAGATAATCTTATAATGTTTTTCACTTCTTAGGGACGTAGTGCAAAACAAACTGGACAATTTGGGGCAGGTACATCTCTCTCTCTCTCTCTCTTTTTTCTTTTTTCTTTTTTTTCTTTCTAGAAATTCTCTTGTATGTGATGCATAATGAGACTATTATATATTCAGTTTCTATATAGTAAAGTGACATGGAGGTCCAATTCTGATTTTATATTTCTACCATTTAGAGAACTTTATACGTTTGCTTCAATAGTTTGGATTGATTCTTTTAAGAAGCATTCTGAACTGAAGTTGTTGAAACAGATGTTAGATGGCCATGAGAATGCCTTACAGGTCTCCGCCAAGGCCTCAGCTAGTCTGCCAGCAAATAGTCCTTCAAAGCAGAAAACTCTAGATCAATTTGTGAGAAGATGTGATAACATGGATATGTTGGAACACGAGCCCAATCCCAAACGCCCCAGAAACTAACCATTGAAGCGGTAAGTAAATATATTCCTGCACATCATGCATGCATGATTGCTAACTGTAATTTGGATTGGTCTTAAAATGCATTTTGCAGCTATATCATTGTCCCAAAGTTCCCCTATAATATTTCTTTGAATTGATAACAGCAGGTGCTCAAAGTGGAGAATAATCGCATGTTGGCACTCTTGCTCGTTCCATGAGAAGGAAGGGCTTGTATAGCTTGTTAGCACAATTTGAAGCCTTAACTATCAGCTGATGCCGAAGGAACTTAACGGTTTTTTTATTTTTGGAATATATGGGATGAGAAATTGGAAAAGGTGATCAGGTTTCCCAACAGAATTTAGGCTTCAGATTTTCTTTTAACGTCTTGTCCCTTTCAATTGTTATTGGGACTTGTAGATAGTACATTATCATATGAATGTAACATGTAAATTGCTTCACGCGATACAGATTTTAATATTGTTGCCATGTCATGTACGGTATTTAATTTTCTACTTATATAGGAACTTGAGTTTTGTAAAAGCTCTTTATGAGTCTAGTCCTCCGAACGTGATATTGTTCACGTCAATTGACCAAGGTTGGTTGTATAAACCACACTGGAAAAATTACATCTCTTCCTTTTCATTTTCTCCTTATATCTTCTTCCTTTTTTTTTTTTTTTTTAATATTTCTTTTATCATATCATCATCTATATGCTAACTTTTTTCCTCTACTTTTGTTATCTTCCTATGTATCTTCTATCCATCCCAAAATGGGATGGACGTTAATCAGTGTCCACCACTGATATCGATCATTTTGTGATATGATTTTAAATCAACTATCTGTTTACGCGTCACTTGAAAAGTTAATGGCAAAGTGGCAACGGCTAATTGCCGCAGAAGTATTTTATAAAAGTGAAACAATCGAATGACATTCCTTATAAACAAGGAAATGAGATTACATAATGGCTAATTTATACACAACAAGAGCAATTCAGAAAAGCCACTGACAATACGGTTTGCTCCATGCTACTGGCTATGTATATACAATTACAAATAGCACACTAGCCATCTCCATAGCATCTGTTCAAGTAGCTGCTGCACCTGCCCAACCTACATCTGTGTGTTCCTCCCCCAAAAATCTAGCCACAATAGCATCCACATCCTCCAAGCCAACCCCTATGCAGAGAGGGTTAGCAGGAATCTTAACAGAATCATCGAGTCCCTGAGCAAGCCTATGATCAACAGAACTCTGAACTCTCACATTAGGAGCAGTTTTGCACTTTCCCATGCACTTGCATGCAACAACAGCACCACCTTCAACACCCACCACCCTCTCAAACTCTTGTAACAATGCAGCAGCCCCTGATCTTTTGCACTTGCCGCCCATGCAGACCTCAATCCTCTTCTGAGGAGCAGTGGCAACAACAGCACTCTCGTTCTTAATACCATCTTTAAAGCTGCTAACAGAGACATCATTCTTAGAACACAATTCCAAGGCACCACGATTCACACTCGCATCCTCAACAATGGAGCTCTCAGGCAATGGGGATTCATCCACAGGTGCAGGGGCAACAACACCAACACCAGCTCTAATGCTGTTCATGTCAACCACTTGATTACAATCACAATCACTGTCACTTGATTCCGACGATGAAGATGAAGAAGATTCACAATTCATCTTGGAGGCTCTGAGTTTGGCTTTTTTCTCTTGTTTCCTTTTTTTCTTCATCTCCTTCTCCTTTGCTCTTGCTTCTTCCAACTCTCTTAGTAATACCTCGCCAACATCCTGCAAGCAAAAAAAAACATAACTTCAATCTCTTTTTGCCGCGAAAAAACTTCAACCATTGTTGTTATTAATTGTTGCTAAAGATCAAGACTTTTTTTGAACAATAAATATCCATAAGAGTACAACCTTTCAATTATTTATGCTAAAAAAAATGAAATAAAAAAACAAATTCAGCTTATCCCATTAAAATAAAGTTTTGAACTTTAATAGAATTCTCTATTCTAATTTCAACATAAAATCATCAAATAGAGAATAACTCATGATTCTGAACAGCAAGCAAGATACCTCGGTGAGGTTTCGTTGAAGATCATAGAACATGGCAAGTTTTTCAGGATCGGAGGAAAGACCCAATTTTGAGAAACCCTTGAGTAATTTGATCTTCTTCTTTGGGGTGAGAACCTTGTTGTTGGTGTCCTGGTAATACTTCAAATGCCCCTCGTCGCAGAAGCCAGAACCCGTTCCCATTCTCACCCGGAATCGAGGAGCACCGCCACGTGAGCGCGTGTGGCTCCCAGCGCCGGACACGTAGGTGACCTGACGGAGAACGGTGCCGGAGACCTCCATTTGCGACGGCGAAGGCGACGGCGGCAATGCAAACTACTCTGTTTTCCTTCTTTTGCTTTCTTTTGGTGCCTTCTTATCCAAACGACTATTGCTCTTTGCCTCTCTAATCAATAGCGTTTTTTTTATTTATTTAATTTTTCAAAGTTGGCTTGCGTGGCGCTTTCTTATTGGACTTTGGTGACGTGGCACGCATTTTCATTTTGCATGTGGCGCGCGTATGACCGTTATGGTTTTCCACGCTTTGTCTTGTGTCTCACATACGAATTGGTTTGATATTGGCCCTTTGATCAACCCTCCTGCATCCTGCGGTGGAGACGCAACCACAGTGGCCACACGTCTCACCTTCGAAAAGACACGTGTCAACAGAAAAGTGCGTCAGAAGCTGGACTTGGATAACGTTCGTTATTGTTATTATTTTTTTTAACAAAGTACTAATTTTAAGATTTGTTTTAAATATTAATCTTTTACACTTATGGACAACGTAAGCCTTGAATTTATATTACTGGTAAAGTTGAAATAATTATATCAATGGATTCATCGATTAAGTTAAAATATTGCTTACAAGCAAGACCATTTAACATTTATAAATGTTATTATTAGAGATGTCAAAAAAAAAATTATACTATATAATTATCAATAACAAAAATTTTACTAATTAATAATATCTCAATTTATAATGATCAATATCTTCATACAATTGTCAAAATAAATTTTCAAGATTTCATACAATATATCACCTATTATTTTTATTTAATCTCATTCTTAATAACATATTTATATTTTTCAAAAATAATATCATTATACAATCATCAAAATATATCACCAAAATATTATACATCATTATTCTAAATTTATAAATATGTATAGACAAATATATATATAGGCATCCTCTTTGCCATTAATCACTAGAGTACGGAGGACATCAACCCTCATTAGAGCACATGCAAAATTTAGTCTTTAATTAATGATAATTTAAGTAAAAGAGCACATGCAAAATTTAGTAACAACAGTTTGTATCCTTAATTAATAGTAATTTAAGCAAAAAGATATGTATAGACAATCATAGATAATGATAATTTCACACTTTCACATGAAATTTTCTCATGAGTCAATTATCATTTTTTCTTCGCAATCATTTATTATTTAAAGAAGTGAGCGAGTCTTATTTTTTTTCTTTCGTCCAAAAGTAGTGACAACGCTACAAGGCATACGTGTGTATTTTCACTATTTTGTATCATAAATTTAAATTTGTCAAAATTTTGAATAAAGTCTTTCAATTACGATATGCTTTGTTTAGTGTTAAAAAATGAAGGTAAATATTCATGGATAGAATTTATTTGTAATTGTACAGAAAAATAATCCATTATCCATTTTTAATCCATATCAGAATCAGAGTGTTACAAAACAAGAATAACTTTTGCAATTAACTTTTCCTTCTTGAATAAAGAACCGAATTCCCTAAAGAACACGGTAGGAATCGATTCAAAATGTTTTCCCAAGCTCTACACATTGAACATGATTGTTAAATTTTTAAAGTAACCGGGTAATCATTAATCACATGCACTACCTACAAACGCCAAAGTTCTCTCTTCATCATGTTCTTTGTTACAGCACTACAGTAGAGGGAACCACCTAACTAAATTCACTGTTGAAATTACATTAAACCGAACTGAAGATTCTATTCCTAGGTTATGATATATTACTATCAAGTGTTTTTTCTTCAGAATCTCTTCATGTTCTTCCAAATTTCTTCAGAGGGGTTCACAGTGGCTAGCATGCATTGACATTGGAGATAAGAGAAAGAATAATGAATGTTTAATAGCCAGCTTTTGTAACCATTAGTAGTAGCATAAAAAATCAGTGGCTTCTCATGATTATGGTATGCCAGCCAAAAGTTCTCGAGACCCTGCTAGGTGTCCTGGTACACGTTGCCTTATCTCTTCAAAAGCACACATTGTTTCTGAGTCCAATCCTCCAACAAACTACAAAAACACGCCAAAATAAGTGTCCCCTTAATGAATGATAATATGATGAGATTAGTGCATATAGTTTATCTACCAAGAAAACGAAGTATCTTGCTTCTTCATGCAAAAAATTCACTGTAGTAAGCTATTTGAATGTAAATAATATTTCAAGTAATGAGAATGGTTTTTTGATAACATGCAAATAAACTTCACAATCATTGTAGTAAGTTGGAAATCTGGTTGTAGTAACAAGATTAGTTCTTTTGATGGTAGTTATTGGGAGGGTTTAGGGCCTCACTTTATGATCTGTTCAAGTGGCAGATTTCTGAACATTCGCAAATTACAGATTATAGATTCACAGCCCTCAAAAGTTGGAGGAAATCAAAACCGGTGACAAAATAATCTGAGGAAAGTTGCTAATAAATTACCTGATGAGCCCTATATGCAAAACGCACGCCCTGAAGCAGAAGAGAATCTTGAATTGATTCTCTGTCTGAATTCTGAATGGATTCAAGCTCCATTGTCACTCTTTTCATGTACATGTTGACCAGAGTCATGGAAGCCTGTTTTATCTGCATAGATGGTATATTACTTATCAACAGGAGTTTTTCAAAGTAAATTTAGCATGTGCACTCTTTCCTGTTAATTCACAAA